TAAAATGTGATGAGAGCTGAACTCACAGAAAAAAGGCTAAAAATTTACAAACAATGAGCTAAAATTTGGTGTTATAGGAGCTAAAGTCATAACTGTAGTCAAATAATCAGTTAAAAAAGTTATAAAAWGTTTTAAAGTTGTGCTTTGGCTGGTTTGAAACATGTTTTCGGCTCTTTTTAAATCCTTCTGGTCTGATGGCGTTCTCAGCCCGCCCACAGACGGGTTTCCATGGAAACGCTGATTATTCTTGGAGCTCTGTAACATTTTAGAAAAGCTATTTAAAACGATTATTGCCGTCTATTTTTTCTGCTCTGCTGACATTTTCAGCTTTTAGCATTTAAATATCTCCATGTTTTCTTACGAAAAAACAGCCGAATGTTTGGAGTCTCTGTAAACGTTTATAAAAACAAATATATTTTAAAAATTTAAACGTTTATAACATCAAATACGTTTATTAAAATGTAAACGTTTATAAAAACAAATGTTTTTTTAAAAATGTCCCCTCGGCTCGTCGCTGCCAGGAGCTGAAGAAAGTCTCTGCAGAGAAGCGTCTGGTTCTGGACACGCTGAACGAAGTGGGCAGCGCCCTGCTGGACCTGGTTCCGTGGCGAGCTCGGGAAGGTCTGGACCGGCTGGTGGCCGACGCCAACCAGCGGTACCGACAAGCCGACGACACCATCACTCAGCGGGTGCAGCTGGTGCAGGCTGCCATCCAGAGGTCGCAGCAGGTACTGCAGTCTGGGCTCTGATGTGTTTTAAAGAATATCTGTAAATATTCTGCTTTTATGWCCTGGGTGAATCTGCCTCGCAGTACGAGGAGGCGGTGGACGCAGAGCTGGCCTGGGTCGGGGAGACGGAGCGTAAGCTGGCCTCTCTGGGCCMCCTGAGCCTGGAACCGGACCTGACCGTGGCTCAGCTGCAGGTCCAGAGGGCCTTCAACATCGACATCATCCGACACAAAGACACGGTGGACCAGCTGCTGGGTGTCAGAGACGATGTCCTGGAGGCATGCAGCGACGCTCAGAGGGACGCTCTGATGGTGCGAGGACCAGCGTTTGTTCTGAACGCTTTCTTTAAGAGGGATCCAGGATTAGTTCTAACATTAAACTTTATTTAATAAACTAATTTTAACCGTAAAATAAAGGCTGTAAAAATACTGTTTAGTTTAGTAAATTTTTAAAAATATATTTTAACTCGGACAGAGCCATTT